CCCCCCCCCCCCCCCCCCCCCGCTACTTGCATTGTTCATCCCTCTATGCCCCCCACTACTGTTCCTTCTCCGTCAATGTCCTAGATCTACCTTGAATGCCTCTGCGGCCTGTCTTGCCAAGGTTGGGCGGCTAAGGCCGCGGCTGGTCTTCCTCCGATTCACCTGGCTATGTTCGCCTGTAGTAGCCAGGAATCTTGCTGGCCTTTTTCTCCCAGCGCTATTTCTTCATCCAGCTCGGTAGTTCGCACAAGCTCCAGCAGCGCTTCCACAAATTTGCGAAATGAACAACTGATAGCCTTTTGACACTGTAACCCAAAATATATAGTTGCAGTGGGCTGCTTGTGCCTGCTTCAATCGGTACGGGGCTCCTTCGGCCTCCGCCTCCCCATATTGCTATTTTGGAAAAGTTCCTGACTTTCTTGTGAGGCTGCTGTAAATTGGACGTTTGCAGACTCAACGTGCTCCTACAAGTACTATACAGTACTGTAGCCTACCGGCCTGCGACGCCTGATCGTAGAGGCCCTAAGACTCTAATCTGTCGTAGCCTTGAACTGGGATAATTCAAGACCTTGGAACTGGGACTGGGAAAGCTTGCAGCGTTAATCCATTCATTTTTATCAAGTATTCTGGGTGATTCTTGAATACAAGTTTGGGTGAAACTTACATTCAGTTGTGGTTTCCGTTCAGTCTATACGAGTGATGCACATTGGAAATGATTGGAGCTTGGCAATCCTAACAATTGTCTGCATTTTTAGCTGTATTTGCGATTCGCAATGTCATTGCTCCTAATGTTCACTAATCACATATTACATTTTGGGTCACCTCTTCCATCCTTGTTTCAAAAATTTCCATCTTTTTAACTGTCATCCTTGCTTTCCGCTTTATTGTGAATTCTTGCATTTGCCGGTGTTTATGTGTGTGTTTTGTAACTTTCACATGCTTTTCTTCTTGCTGATCTCTTTGATTGGTCTCTGCCATGATGTCCTCCACAACAATCAATGACTAGGCAATAACTCCAAAATTGGCATCCCTCTTGCTTCTCCCATTCCAGGTTAGGATTTATGACTTAAAAGTGCACATCTTTTATACACCTTTCTTTTCCTTGCTTTCCTCGTTTCCCTGCCTGTAACACCTATCCTGTCTTGTCTTGTCCGTCATTCCCATTTTATTTTCTCCTAGCCTCAGTCGCCTTACTTTTTCCCAGTTGTTTTGTTGCATAAGCACTGATACTCATACTCTACTCTACTCTACTCTACTCGACTCTACTCGACTCTTCTTTGCTCTGCTCTGCTCTGCTCTACTCTACTCCACTCTTCTCCACGCTACTCAACTCACTTGTGCTCTACTCTTCTCAACTCTTCTCCACTCTTCTCTTCTCTCCTCTTTTCTCCTCTTCTCTACTCTACTCTACTCTGCTCTGCTCCACCTTGCTCTACTCCACCTTGCTCTACTCTTCCCCTCTTCCTTGCTCTCCTCTACCCTACTCTGCTCTTCCTTACACTACGTTCTCCTACTCTTCTCTACTCTACTCTTCCCTACACTTCTCTGTTGTACGCTTCTCTGCTCTGTGCTCTGTTCTACACTACTCTGCTCCCCTCAAATCTTCTCTGCTCTGCTCTACATCTTCTCTACTCCACTCTGCTCTGCTTTACTTCACTCCACTCCACTTTTACTCTATTGTACTTCACTCCACTCTACTCCACTCCGCTCTACTCAACTCCGCTGTACTCCACTCCAATCTACTTCACTCTACTCTACTCGCCTTCACTGAGTCCACTCTACGCTTCCCTATTCTTCTCTAGTCTTCTCTTCCCTACGCTTCTCTTCCCTATGCTTCTCTCCACTCCACTCCACTCTCCTCCACTCCACTCCACTCCAGTCCACTCCACTGTACTTTACTCTCCTCCACCCCGCTCTCCTTCACTCCACTCTCCTCCACTCTACTCTCCTCTACTCTCCTCTACTCTACTTTACGCCTCCCTGCTCTATGTTTCCCTGCTCTGCTCTCAGTTCTTTGCTCTCCTCTGCTCTGCTCTGTTCTACACTACGCTACTTTGCTCTGTTCTGCTCTGATCTACTCTACTCTACTCTACTCTGCTCCACTCTGCTCTACTTTACTCTGCTCTACTGCACTTTGCTCTACTCCGTTTTACTCTTCTCTTCTCTTCCCCACTCTTCTTTTCTCTACTGTGCTCTTCCCTAATCGGTGTTTGCGTATTCTCGTTTCTACGCTTCTTTAATCTACGCTTCCCTGCTCTACGCTTCTCTGCTCTGCTCTTTTGCTCTTCTTTGTTCTGCTCTGCTTTACACTACTCTGCTCTGCTCTGCTTCGATCTTCTTTGCTCTGCTCTACACTCCTCCACTCTGCTTTGCTATACTTCACTCTGCTTCACACTACACTCTGCTCTGCTCTACTCCACTCTCCTACACTGCACTTCATTCCACTCCATTCCACTGCAGTGCACTGCACTCCACTCCACTCCACTCCACTCCACTCCACGCCCTGCCACTCCGCTCTTGCTTTGCCGCAGGTGAACCCATACCGTATTATCTTTTTCGTCTCCATTGTTGCTCATCAAAATTAATGGGTGGAGCTGTGATGGCTATTTGTGTTATATTATTGTAGGGGATAAGGTACAGGTTGGACAAGGGGTCAAGAGATTCAGTTGATGCAACGTAGACCTCATATATGGAAAGAGATGTGGATACGGGCTGCTCGTATGTCCCTTCTTGTAGGTCCTTATTGGCTGGAGCTAAGTGGCAACATGTGCTAAATTAACCATTTCACTATGAAATGAGGATAGAATGTGGATTACATTGTCATTCTGTATGTGGTGGTTTACTTTGTTTTCTTTTGTATTTGTTGTTTGGATTTGTTGATGCTCTACCCAGTGTTTACCGTTGGCACGATAACAGGTACATCAGCGGTACGTCCTTCCCGGTCCTCTCGCACTAGGGAAAGGTCTTCTCAATGCTCTCACGCCCGCACTGGATATGGATCGAACTGTCTCACGACGTTCTGAACCCAGCTCACGTACCGCTTTCATGGGCGAACAGCCCAACCCTTGGAACGTACTACCGCTCCAGTCTTCAAACAATTAGTTGGTTTCATCAATCTAGGGATAATCAGACTTGAACTGATGGCTTCCACCATGTAAAGGTGGCACTCTACCGCGGAGTTATATCCCTCAACAAAGAAAAAATGCAAGGAACATGAGTATGGACGAAGCACAGAAATCCAGAATGCAATATCACACTGAAGTCCAAGTATTCAAAGCCAAAGCAGATAGTACAATGGAACCGAGTAACCATCCAATTGAGAATGATACAGAAGAATCGTGAGTCAATGTCCATGCCCAACAGGGCAAGACCAACAGTATAACCCAAATATAGCTCTCTCTTGTGAATGGCGCCAGGCGCCCTATCTACTCTACAGCCTATCCTACAACTACAGCAATGAAAAGCAACCAGACAACTTGACTACCAGCGAGTGATGATGTCAACACCAATGCCGATCTCCACCATCATCAGGTACGTGTCCTCTTCCCCACACTCTCCCTTGTTACCCACACAGCGCCCTTCACCTCCGAAGACCACCTTCGCCCTTTACCCCTCTGCGCCCTCTGCAGCCCGGCTATGGCCGCCAAGCGCCCTGTATGCAGGCAGCGCCCTACCGCTTAGCGCTGGCCTGCTTGCTCTTAGCGCAGCACTGCCTTGCACAGCGCAGCACACATGCATCCGCGCAGTGTGCCCGCAAGTGCCAGCGTTGGCCAAGATGCCAGCCCACTCGCCCTGCTTGCCTATATGCCAGTGCTGCGTGTGGGCGGCCTCCCTTCAGCCTCCGACAGTGCCCCAGTGGCTGAACCCAGGCCCATTACAGTTGGGGCCCGGGAGATGCAGTTGTGCCTCTCTCGTCAAGGCCTGCGGCCAGATTCAGACAGTGGGCCGGTTTCCCTTTGCATTTTCGGCCTCTATACCCAGCGTGCATTGTCGGCCTCACGTTCAGGAGCCCAGGGCCTAACTAACTCAGAGGCCCTGGGCATTTCAGCATTTGCTGAGATCCGAAACTCGGTGCACTCCAACCAACTGGCGTGCTGCAACTGTAAGGACCCCACTTCGTGAAATGTATGCACAGAAGGCTATTGTTGATTTGCTGGCCCGCCTTCACTTAGGGCGGGCACGAGGCTTGCTGGGGGCCTTAGCCCAGAACATGTACTTCATGGCAAGGCCCCTTCTTGAGGGCTCATTCCTCACATTCCATCCCCCTTAGCTTCGAAAGTCCGCTGAGATGCTTACTTCGCAGGTGCCTTCCCTTTTAACTTTCGTTCATAATCTGCCACCACCTCAGGAGCTGTTTCCATCAGTTCCTCCCGGTTAAACCACCGATCTTCTTTTGGATCCGTATGATGCCTGAATCTGATCCGGTACTCTCTCTTGGGTTTAGGAGGTCTTCCTCGACCCAGCGGCATCTGAACAGGCATATCCCTGTGATCCACAATGTCATCGATATCGACTTGTCCATCCATGGTTGGGGGCAGCATCGATCTCCTGGAAGGGAATTGATCAGTCTCAGCGAAAGGTGCAAGCTTTGAGGCATGAAAGACTGGGTGAGTGCGTAGGTGTCCAGGGACACGAATGACATATGTGGGACCATCCAACTCATCTCCCACTACATCCAAGACTTCCCAAGGACCAAAGTACTGAGGCATTAGTTTGCGAGATATTCCGAACTCCTGTCCTAACTCACTAGCCTTGACCCAAACACGTTCCCCTACTTGAAATGTGGACTGTCTGCGATGTTGATTCTCAGAAGCAATCATGGCTTGCCGAGCTTTCTTCATATGTTCAACAGCCTCTTGCAGCAACTTCTCATATTGCACACCGTATTCAAGTGTGCCTGGAGTTGCAGCAGGTCGGTTTTCAGGTTGGAGGAAGTCTAGTGCTGATCTAGGCTTCCATCCTAAGTGCAGCTGGTTAGGACTAGCGCCGGTACTATTATGTATATCATTGTTGTACAGGCTGGCGATGAGAGGTAACTGCTCATCCCAGTCATCCTGGCTGGGCTTGATGTAATGCCTCAGCAAGTGCTGTATAACTCTATTCATTTGTTCGGCCTGTCCGTTGGCTTCGGGATGATTCCCTGAAGTCATCTGAAGTTGACTGCCCATCTGTTCCGCAGTCTTCTTCCACAGCTCACTTGTGAATCGGACGTCTCGGTCACTAATGATGGTCTTTGGTAAATCAAAGTCCCTTACCCAGTTGTCCTTGAACAACTTGACGACGTATTCTATCCTGGCTGTCTCCGGCATTGGTATTAGTCTAGCGTACTTGGTGAATCGGTCGATGATGACGAAAATGTGCCTCTTACCACTCTTGCTGGTCACTAGGGTGTCCATGAAATCCATGGAAACACTCAATCCTGGACCATCAGGAATAGGTAAAGGCTTCAACAACCCAAGTGGTGCTTGAGTTCGCGGCTTGTCCCGCTGACAGACCTGACAGGTCTCGACATACTTCTTTGCGTCATCTAACATTCTGGGCCACCAAAATCGTTGTACTAAGTTAGCACTCGTCTTTTTGTAGCCAAAGTGCCGAGTTGCGTCATGACATTCGCCTAAAAATAAACTACGCAATTGTTCACTAGATGGAACTACCAATCTCTTTACTCCGGCCTTATCAAGATAGATTAGCCCATCCACCATCACAAACTCACTTTATGTGGCCTTGTCTTTTGCCTCAAGTTTGCGGATGATGTCCATCGCGACAGGGTCTTCCTGATAGGCTCCCACCAATGATTTACTTCTTCAGATACGCCAAATTTAGAAACCAGCGCACCTAGGTAGTCTGCTCTATGGGATAGCGCGTTTGCAACCTTGTTGTGCTCTCCCTTCAGGTTCCTCAAGCTTGAAGTCATATTGGTCTATGACCTCAATCCATCGCTTGAGTGCATCAAAAAGAGCCGGTTGAGTCTTGATCCATTTGAGGGTCTTATGATCAGTCCTCAGATAGAAGAACCTTCCCAAAAGGAAGTGTCTCCAATGGACAAGTGCCTTGTAGAGAGCATAGAGTTCCCTTTCGTAGGTGGACTTAGCCAACTTCTTTGATGGCATCTTCTTACTTATGTAGTCAATCGGTCTCAACTTTTTCCCATCCTGCTGAGCCAGCACTGCGCCAATGTCGTATTGGCTTGCGTCAGTGGTTACTATGAATGTCTTGTGCGGATTGGGAACCATGAGAACTTCATGATTCATGAGTGCATGCTTCAATCTCTTGAAAGCACCCTCGCACTCATCACTCCAGTCCCACGGTGTGTCAAGTCGAGTTAGATCAGTCAAAGGAGAGGCGACTGTAGAATAGTTCTTAACGAAGTTTCTATAGTAGCCGCACATTCCTAAGAATGATCTGACCTCAGTGACTGTTTGAGGCCGTGGCCAATCTGGAATACTAGCCACCTTCGCATCTTCCGGCCTAATTCCCTCCGCGGATACTTCATGACCCAAGTATAGTATCTTAGTGCGATCGAATTCACACTTCTCTAWGTTGACCTTATACTTGTGRTGTCGAASKAGTGARAGWACYGTCTCAACATGYTKTGCATGCTCCTCGGCAGACTTACTAAAGATCAGAATGTCGTCTAGGTAGACCACGACAAACTTATCTAAATGGTCATGGAAGATCCGATTCATAGCGTGCTGAAATGTACCCGGCGCATTGCAAAGACCAAAGGGCATCACTACAAACTCATACAGACCATAACGAGTCTGAAAAGTTGTCTTATGTTGGTCCTTAGGTCTTATTGCGATGTGGTGATATCCGGATTTCAAGTCTATCTTGCTATAGTATTTGCATCCCTGCACCCTATCCAATAGGTTGTCTATGCGCGGTAGAGGCTCTGCATTTTTCACAGTGATGGCATTGAGGCCTCTATAATCAATGCACATCCTCAAGGTACCCCCCTTCTTAGGTACGAACAAAACGGGTGATCCGTAAGGGGAAGTACTAGGCAGAATCCAACCCTTCTCTGTCAGCTCCTTAAGCTGTTTCGGAAGTTCATCTAACTCGGCGGGGGCCATCCTATAGATCCTTCCCCTTGGGGTCTTACTCCCTGGAATGATTTTTATAGCGTGGACGACTTTCCTTTCAACAACTCCTGTGGGCTCCTCGAACAGATCAGGGAACTTAGCAACAATGCGTTCTATCTCTGGGGGTGTTCTAACGGCCTCCCCCTTCTCAGAGACATAAACAAGGTACATACCCTCCTCTTGGTTTTGCTTGTCGTAATTATAGAACACCGATGCACACAAGCAGCCATAGGTATCTACAATACTGTTGGCTTTGAACTTAGTCAACCTGACAGTTCGGCCATCGGGCAACTTATGCTTGAGCACCTTCTTATCCTCGTCGAACTGGGGCCTAGCAACTTTGAGGTAGTACATGCCTAACAACATGTCAAATGGTATGTCGTCGCTAACCAAGAACGAGATCTTATGGTGAAGCTCTCCTCCTCCATAGGAGAAGGTACAGACTACGTCCTTGATGTAGTACGTTACAATCATGCGCTCCTTGTTGGCCAAAGTAGATGCTACTGGTCTACTAAGGTGCCGTACCCGGTCCTGTAGGTGCAGCCTTTCCAAACAGTCGCAACTTATGTAATTACGCGTGGAGCCTATGTCTCTGAAGGCACCACATTTGCGGCCTCCTACATCGACTTCCACCATGAAATGTTCCCCTCTAGGACCTTTCCTTAGTGCCACCCAAGACTCACGAGGGTCCTTGTTTGACCACTCATTCTCTGAGTCTTCTAAGGCTTCAGACACATCTAACGTACAGAGCATAGTTTGGTCTAATTGTGTCTGCGGGGTGACTAAGGGGTCATTAGCCTTGGCCTTGTCATGAAGTGGGGAGGGTATCAATCCCACTTCATTTTGAGTCGAAGCGGCTAATACTTCCACTGGCCCTACGTGTTTCTCGAGCTAGAAGCCTGGGAGTAGGTTGCCCCCATCTTTAGAGCTACCTTCTGCGTAACCTTAGCGTTCTGGCACTTGTACTGCGAGTGTCCGTACTCCCCGCAGTTGATACAAGCACCACGTGTTCGGCAGTCACGCCACACGTCTTGATCAAGACCTGCCTTTACCCACTCAGCCTGTTTGGTCTGATTGGAGGCGGCCTTCCCTTGACCCCTAGGCTGGCCCTTCCCTCGGCCTGCCGCCTTAGTCTTAACTACTGCGGCGAGGGTGCTACCCTTAGCTACCTCCTCGCCGTCAAACTCTGTATAGTCCATCAGGTCGGTGAGCTCATCGATCTCAGTTTGAGTCCCATCAGACTCCACCGTCATCAACATAGCCCCCTTCTTCTTCCACTGTTGAGGATTCTTCTTCTTCTTGGAGTCATTCCCTGAGGTGGGTTGAGCATTGCCTAGCGTGGCCTCCAAGTCTAAGGCTTTCCTAGACAATGTCTCAAACGAGTGGTACTCGGTGCGTGCCTCACTGGCTAGTAAGTTCCTGATGTTCTCTGGCAAACATCTAACATACGTAGTTAACAGGAACTGGTCACTGTAGTTGATGCCTGGGACGAGGATCAGGCTTTCAACGGTATTCGTAAGCTCTCTGACCGATTTGAACTTTCGTTGGTCCAACTTGTTAATCGCATCAGTGGCTTTTTGTGCCTCCTGTGGATTATGCTAGCGAGCTTCTACCATTTCCATGAACTGGTCTAACGTCAATGACTTAGCCCAGTCTGCCATGCGTCTCCCATACCCGGCCTTTATCACTACACCATCTAGCCATTTGGCTGCCTTACCCTCGAGGTAAGATGCAACAGTTACCACTTCGTCCTCAGGCAAGGTCCTCTTTGCCTTCACCCAAACCGGGACTGTCCTCAACCATGTGTTGAGTTCCTCGTCCTTGTTCTCGCCTTAGAAGGCAAGAGGCGGTTTCATCGGGGTCTTAGGGTACCATTGACCTTGCGGCTGTCCTTGTTGAGGACTAGCCTGTTGCGGTTGTGTAGCAACCACCGCTGGACCCGAAGAAGAAGATGCAACAGTCTGTGCGGCTGCTGCAGATGTGCCACTTGGTTGTGTGCCAGCTTGAACCGGAAAGGGGCCTGACATCGCCGATAACGGCAACGGCGATTGTGCTGGTGGCCGGAATCCTGGCCTTGTCAAAGCATCCAGGATCTGGTCTAGAGTGCTCTGCATGAAGTCTAACTTGCTGTCCACGTGTGCGTGTAGTGACAGCATATTTTTCAAAACTTTCAGCGGGTCAGTCAATGCTGACTCATCCAAGCCCTCTAATTCAGCCTTGTCAGCCTCTAAAGATTCAAGCCTGGCTGCTCTAGTTTTCATCGCATTTTCTCTATCGGTAGCTTCTTTCAGGTCCTGCTCTAACTTACGGCGGAGCATCTCGACCTGCTGGATCTCTCTGAGCTCCCTCTAACGCAGGGTCAACGGGCTGAACTGCGAGCCCGCCATTTGACTAGAAGACTGTCTAGAACCTGTGGAACCGGAAGTGCCCGAGGAACTTGTGGAACTGGTTGGCATTCCCAACTGGCCCCCATTAGTCCCTGACGAGGACGGAGAAGATGATGCAGCAGAGCTTGCGCCGCTCTACGTAACCATCTTTCTTCTCCCTGCTCTAAGGTCTGGAACACGTGCGGTACCCTTAATGCCCCTGCACGTGTTAGTCTCCTATTGTCAGCTCTATCATCAACAGGGTCTGACCCACTCATTAGTTAGACAGATAGTATCTGCACTAGAATCCCCTAATGGAATCCTACCGCATCATGTATCTGACCGGCACGTAGTTTTCTATAAATGGTTGTGTCCGGCGAATTCCCTACTATACCGAATCAAGTGGCATGTCTACAACATTCACACAGATTGTCTACATAGTCTAGATGCACCCTGATTGGTTCACTTACAGCAACCTTAGTTAGAACTGGCTATGGCAGCATACAACAGTCCTACACTAATCTGTCTGTGAGGTTAGCAGTCCGTCAACCAACTAATCAAAGGTACAAAAAGACAATGTAGCAGATGTATGATTGATGGGTATAGTTGTGTACACAGTTGAGCACCAATTGGAACCTACCCTCCCCTCAATCCAACATACCGAACAGCATCTTGAGCAAAGCAGTGTTTTCGTGTGTGTATCGGCCCACCCCTGTGCCCAAGTCAGAGCCAAGTAAGCCAGCCAGCCCACTCTTATTTACCCTCGTACGGAAACGAGCCTTACACCCGGATGATCTGGCTGATCAGGAGGATTATTAAGAGCGCCCCCATCTCTTCAGGAATTATTTAACGTCGCAGTCAGGACGACGATCACAGCCAGAATCATACCGAGTACCCAACCAGAAATGTTTATAGACGGTCTGGTAAGCGTCTCATACAAGGCTGGCACACTTGGCAAGACTTCTATCTGAGCGCAGCAAGTGCCAAAACAGGACAGCAGCCGTCGCATGCGTGCACTACTCCCTGTGGGTTGGCATGGTGACCGTGACCCAGTGCTTCAACCAGGGCCCTTCAGCGGCACCGCCCTTTCTCCTTCCAGATGCTTCCGGGAAGATTGTCGTCTCTCAAGGTAGCGAGCTCACGACACCTCACCAAGGAGAGGACTCTCAAGTTGGACTCACTTCCTCACGGTAAGAAGAGATTGAGAAGGTAGATAAGGTAAGGGATCAACATACCTGGAGATAGCTGCCCCCAACCACAGATTTTCTCACCAATTGAGCTGATGTTGCATTTGATGACAGGTCATGACCTCGGTACCACCCACAACGCAATACAGTGCCACCTTAGTCCAATGCCACATCAGCATGCTCTCACCATCAATCAAACATTCCGCTGTATCCCACGGCATAAAATGCCGATTTAGCCTTCCGGTGCACCCCTCTCTACCCAGGGCGTGCACCTATCAATGACCTGACGTCACAAGTACCAACTGCGAAGAAGCATCATCAACGCACCAAGTCTGTATAACGCCAGAATGCCGAAGGTAAGTGGCGATCAAACCAGCTCCGATACCAAATTGCAAGGAACATGAGTATGGACGAAGCACAGAAATCCAGAATGCAATATCACACTGAAGTCCAAGTATTCAAAGCCAAAGCAGATAGTACAATGGAACCGAGTAACCATCCAATTGAGAATGATACAGAAGAATCGTGAGTCAATGTCCATGCCAACAGGGCAACACCAACAGTATAACCCAAATGTAGCTCTCTCTTGTGAATGGCGCCAGGCGCCCTATCTACTCTACAGCCTATCCTACAACTACAGCAATGAAAGGCAGCCAGACAACTTGACTACCAGCGAGTGATGATGTCAACACCAATGCCGATCTCCACCATCATCAGGTAAGTGTCCTCTTCCCCACACTCTCCCTTGTTACCCACACAGCCCCCTTCACCTCCGAAGACCACCTTCGCCCTTTACCCCTCTGCGCCCTCTGCAGCCCGGCTATGGCCGCCAAGCGCCCTGTGTGCAGGCAGCACCCTGCCGCATAGCGCTGGCCTGCTTGCTCTTAGCGCAGCACTGCCTTGCACAGCGCAGCACACATGCATCCGCGCAGCGTGCCCGCAAGTGCCAGCGTTGGCCAAGATGCCAGCCCACTCGCCCTGCTTGCCTATATGCCAGTGCTGCGTGTGGGCGGCCTCCCTTCAGCCTCCGACAGTGCCCCAGTGGCTGAACCCAGGCCCATTACAGTTGGGGCCCGGGAGATGCAGTTGTGCCTCTCTCATCAAGGCCTGCGGCCAGATTCAGACAGTGGGCCGGTTTCCCTTTGCATTTTCGGCCTCTATACCCAGCGTGCATTGTCGGCCTCACGTTCAGGAGCCCAGGGCCTAACTAACTCAGAGGCCCTGGGCATTTCAGCATTTGCTGAGATCCGAAACTCGGTGCACTCCAACCAACTGGCGTGCTGCAACTGTAAGGACCCCACTTCGTGAAATGTATGCACAGAGGGCTATTGTTGATTTGCTGGCCCGCCTTCACTTAGGGCGGGTACGAGGCTTGCTGGGGCCTTAGCCCAGAACATGTACTTCATGGCAAGGCCCCTTCTTGAGGGCTCATTCCTCACAAAAAGAAGAATTACACTTTCTATTTACTTTGTTTTCTTTTGTATTTGTTGTTTGGATTTGTTGATGTTCTTGCAGGAGAACTTCTTAAGTCAAAATGAAGTAATTGCGAGCCTGAAACGACAACAGGAGGTGTTGAAGCAACAGCTACAGGTAATACCTGTGCCATCTCTGGTATACGCTCGCACATGCTGTATGGAGAGGTATCACTTCCATGCATATTTTGGACTAGCCGTGTTGCACTAGTTTGAGGATGGTTTCCAGGAGGACTGAATGTTTTCTGGTTAGCCAAATGTTCCAGGTGAGTGGTCTTTTTGTGGGTGGGGTCACAGTCAGTGTTTGCTGGGTGATGAGGTCTGGGTCATGGCCCTTATCACTCTTGGTCTCACCAACGAATTATCTCTACCTAGAACAGCAGCGTAGAACTAAGCACAGGAAGTTCATTCTGTGAACACACCAAAACGTTTGGTTCATCACCCGATGCAAAAAAATCGCAAGAGTCAACTGCAATGATCCCACAAACATACATCCACTTCATGGGATTGCACACCAAGCGTGCATGACATGAAACAAATACACGAGAGATTATAACTTTGAAAGATGTCTTGGATCAAAGTCTTATTCAACCGATGTACGCAATCTGGCAGCTATGGCTGCAGCTCAATGACAACTCTCTCTCTCTCTCTCTCTCTCTCTCTCTCTCTCTCTCTCTCTCTCTCTCTCTCTCTCTC